TGTACAAATATGTTTCCATGTCCTGGCTTTTAAACTTTAAAGTTCTATATCCCAAAATGTACTTGCTATTTCCTAGGGTAATTCTGTGTTCAATTTTTAAAGAGCTGCCATAGTGATGACACCACTTTAAATTCTCACCAGTAGAACATAAAGTCTTACTTCCTTTGTGTCCTCATCAACACTTGTTAGTTTCTGTTTTATTTTTTATTTTTCATTTTTATAGCAGACATTCCAGTGGGCGTAAAGCAATATTTCACTGTGATTTTGATTTGCATTTTCCTAATGATTAGTGAGGCTGAACATTTTCCCCTGAACTTATTGGTTATTTGTATATCTTCATTGGAGAAATTTTTCCTTAACTCCTTTGCCCATTTGTTAATTGCTTTTTAATTATAGGAGCTCTTTGTACATCCTGGACATATATATATATATATATATATATATATACATACATATATATAAACAATTTGCAAATACTTTATATATTCTGGATATTAAGACCTTATCATACATGGCAGACTGACAAATAAAGTGAATTTTTAGATTTAAAAATTTACTAAAGTAAAAGACATATTGCCATTAATGCCCCTCTAAATACTCTCCTTGTTTCAAATGCATTTATGTCCTTGTTCTTGGCACATGCAGGAGCAGTTCTAGGAGTCCTCCTCTGTAAGTGTCTTTAGTTGTGTTTTCATGGTATCCTGAATGGACTCAAAATGCTTGCTTGTCATGATCACTTTAACTTTGGAGAACAACTGGAAGTAGCCTCATACCAGAGCTGGTGAAAGAGGTGGATGAGAGCACAGCATTAGGTTTCTATGAGCCTTTCCATTGAATGGCACTTAGCAGAAGCATTCACTGTATTTTTGATCATATTTCACAAAGATATGAGAAGGAATTTCTAGAACTGCTTCAAAAATGGTAAGAATGAGGGTGGAAAGTATCTTCAAAGTGAGGGGGAGTTCTCTGTGGGAGATTAGTTATAATGTGTCTTTTTTTTGTAATTAACTTTTTATTTAAAGTTTACCATATATTTTGACCACCCCATGTATATATGAATTGCAAACATTTTCTTGCCTTCTTTTGGTTGTATTTTTACTCTTTTGATGGTGTCATATGATGTTTAGAAGTTTCTAGTCTAGATGTGGACCAATTTATCTATTTTTTCTTTTGTCATACGTGTTTGGTGTCATATCCAAGGAAATCATTGCCAAATCTACTGCTATGAAGATTTCCTACTGTGTTTTCTTTCAAATGCTTTATAGTTTTCATTCTTATATTTAGGTTTTTGGTCCATTTAAAGTTAATTAGTGTACATGGTATAAAGTAGACATCTAACTGCATTATTTTATGTGTGAGTAAGCCATTCTCTCAGCACCGTTTGTTGAAAAGACTGTCTTTTCTCCTTTAAACAGTCTTGGCACATTTGTCAAAAATCATTTGACCATATGTGATGGTTTATTTCTGGGCTCTCTATTCTATTTCTGTGGTCTATATGTTTATCTTTATGCTAGTTCCACACTGTTTTGATTAGCTTTGTAGTAAGTTTTGAAATCACTGCGAGTGAAACCTCCAATTTTATTCTTCTTTTTCAAAACTGTTTTGGTTGTTTGGAGTCCACTGAGATTCTACATAAATTTGGGGATGAATTTTTCTAGTTCTACAAAAGTGTTGTGATTTTAATAAGGATTGCATTGAATCTTTGGAGGGTGAGAATTTATAGATAGGCTACATTTCATAACTTGGGCTGACTGTCGTAAGAATGCTTAGCCAGCAGTTCAATTTGTATGATTTATCTCAGTAGAGTTGTTAATCCTACAATGGCACTGTATAAAAATGTACTTTTTATTGAGCTTGAGTTTATTTACCTTCTAGTGAAGCAGTTTTCTAAGATGTTAGTTGTAGTTAATTATATCTATTTGCTTTATTTTAATAGGCAAGAATATCATGTTTACTTTTTCGTTTCCCTTTGATATTTCTCTCATTAAATTTCTAGGGTCACATAAGTTGGTTTTAGGCTAAAAATGGTGTAGTTGTTATTGTTGTCATTGTTTCATGTGGGAAGCATAGTTAACAGGTTTAAAACAGAGAAACAAATTTTTCTTTGGTATTGGGAATTGAACTTGGACCTTACTCTTGCCAGGCAGGTGCTTGTGCCCCTGAGCTATATCCCTAGCAAAAAAATTTTTTAAAAAGAATATTCTTTAAAATAATGTGAAAACCATGCTTGCTGACAAGTAGCACCTAAAATGACAGTGGACTAAGATTTTCTGCACCAAATCATGGGTTTTTTTTTTTCTCCTACAGGCAGAATAGAAAGCAAGGTTGAAGTTCCTTCTACCAAATGCACTGCTGATGGTACAGAAGTAGAAAAGACTAAACTCAGAGTGGGCAAATTGTAGCTCATGGGCCAAATCCAGCTCCCCACCTGTTTTATAAAAAAATATATTGGAACGTAGCCATCCTTGCTCTTTTAGGCATTGTCTGTGGCTGTAGAGTTGAGTAGTTGTGACAGAGACCATATGGTCCACAAAGCCTTAAATACTTATTATCTGGTTCATTACAGAAGAAGTTTGTTGACCTCTGGACTATACTGTAAAGAAGTGATGAGTGAATAATTTAGCTCAGCCATCTCATTTTAAAGGCGGTAAAAATGAAAACACTGCTGTCATGTATCAGCTATTGAGGGTGAAGAGTTCTGGGCTGGTAGCATGGGACAGAATGAAAAAGACAAGGGCTTTAGCAGATTGCCTTTCTTATTTTGGGGAAGGGTCTACAGACAGGAAACACTAACAATGGAATGTCTGCAGTGTGTAAAGCCAAGGGAAGGTGAGGCAGGATTCTCACAATTCCCAAAGAGGTTTCTAAGAAGAGTAGGCAGGGTGGCACAGCAAAGTAAAACCAGTGGAGGAATCAGTCACAGGTGTCTAGGAGTTCTAGGTCTGCACTTGTTTTTGGTCCTGGGCAATATAATGTTTCAATCCAAAATCTAAATCACGGTACATGGGGAGACCCACATATCAAAGGACATGAAGTAGTAACATGCATTAAGTTCAACTGGTCTGTGTGATAGATAGAATACAGCAGAATTGGAGGTGTGTTATTTCTGAGATTAGGTTATAAAGCACTGCAGCTTCTTTAGACAACTGCCCCACCACAATTCTCAATAAGCTTTTTACTGGATGTGTCAGTGAAGCAAAGAGCAAAGATAGTATGACGCTGGTCACCTGGTCCTCTCATTTTTCTTTCCCTGGCTCAGCATGGTTGCAATCAGAGGGCTGAGACCTTTCAGCTTCCCTTCCTCCGTCCCCACCTGCTTCCCACTACCCAAGTCCCTATCCAGGAAAAGAGTGAAATTCTTACTGTTTCCTTTTACTCAAGACAGTTATAGTTGAAATGCTGGGGGTGGGATCTTGAGAGTGATTCTTTACCCTTTTTGAATTATTTCTTTTGAGGGCAAAAAGTTCTAACCACTATGATATAATCCTACTTCATCCTACTTAGGGGAAAGTTTAGTAAATTAGAACATTATTCTAGTGGATCAGTTGGCCAGCATGAAGTTGTCATTTGAATAATAATACACTTTGAACCAAAACTCATTCGCTTTTTCAACCATAAAAATTACAATGAATTTGACTGATATGTTTCCAAGGGGATAAAAACTGTCTGCAGAAACCTCCTTTGTCTTTCTCATCTCAACTCCTATTTTTTGGTAATCACACAGAAAAGCTTAAAAAAAATAGTGTCTATTGACTTCTTCATCTACAAAGAGCACCAATGTCAGCATGTCACCCACATAAATTAACTTGGGAATATGTATTTATTCATTCACTCTTTAAATATTTAGTAAATATACACTACTTTCCTACCAGAGAAATAGATAAATAAACCTGTCTTTGACTGGCTCACAACCATGCCAGGTGAGGGTAAGTCCAGCATTTAATAAGAAAAGACTTGATGTGCCAGGAATTATAATGAGTATATAAAGAAGCTATGGATGTATTTTATAATAGTTTTTGACTGTCAGTTAAATTTTTTATTTTTACATGAAGAAATCATTAGCTAACCCTTATAATCATGTGGCTTGGTATTTTTACTAAACCAGAAAAGACTGCTATAAACAGGAAATTTCTAAAAGAACAAAAACTTATCTAATTGTCTTATTGGGTGTTATTTGGAAATGACCAAAATTATAGGTAGAATACTTTTCAAATGGGAGTGGGATACTTCCTATTCAGAGCAGAAAAGTTACATATTGCATCACTGCAAAGTTGTTGTATATTTCACCAGTACATAGACTTGTGAAGTTATTTTCATATAATTTTCCAAGAATCAAGAATCATCTCTATTATATCCATAGCTTTGGAAAGTTTAACCTTGAATATTTTCATCTATTTCTTGTTTTTATTAATTCTAGAATTTATTTTATGTCAATATTATGCTTTGAACAACAAGATTTATTTAAAATTTAATAGCTAGTTCTCTTAAAAATTATATACATATATATATAATTTCACAGATAGGCTACCATGCTGTCTATTTTGCTAACATAAGCGGTGAAACTATTAAATATATATGTGTTTGTTTTCTGAAGGGAGGTGCAGTGTTTAGGCATTGTCCTTTAGCTAGGTAGTGAGGATGATTCCCAAAGTGAAATGTGAATTTAAGAACCAGGTGTGTGCATACTAATTGGTTTTGGGCATTTTGTTATCCAGGAAGAGCAACACATTTAATAGCTAAAATAAGAAGCAAGGCAACAAACAAATCCCACAAAGCTTGGCATGCCAGTGTAGGTGGGATGTTATAGCAAGCGACTCTGCCAGACAGACAGATGAAATCGCACTGAGATGTAAGTGGCAAAAAGTGCTTGCTTGAAGGATGTCATAGAAAACAATGCCGCTTCATTGTAAAGTCCAGATTTGTGTTTGGAGGGATGAGAGATGGAGTTAGTAGCCATTCACTCTGTCATACATTTTTATACCAAGCTTTTTATTACTAGGATTTAAGTACATCAGTGTGATGGGTGAAAGGGTGATTGGAGGAGGCCAGAAGGAAAATTGTAGGGCATGTGGCTTTATTATTTAATCATCTGTTTTATTATTTAATCTGTTTTATTATTTAATCATAAGAAAAAAACTCATCTTTAAAAAAAATCATAGTAATGAAAATGTTAATAACCACAAGTTGCAGAGAGCTTGCTATGTGTGAGGCACTACGTAATATCCTTTGCGTTCCCCTGACTCTCAACTCTTTCCAAACAGGAAAATTCTATTCCAGAACTGCTTCTTCACTTGTAGCAGAAGGACCATAAAGGGATTTTACCTTATTTACAGTTCTGAATTCATAAGGAGTAACATTCTGGACTTCGTTGGAGCTACTTTATGCTTTGAGATAGTGAACAGGGTGCTCCTGGGCGCTGGAGGAGTAGCATTCCTTTCCTCCTCACAGGATGCCAGGCTCAGACAAAGGAGAATATGTTTCTTGGATTGACTGTAGGAGAAAGTACCTTTGTTTTATTTCTTACAGGTAGAACTGCAAAGTGTAGGGTCCTCCCCAGCTCACCTCTCTGTTCTGGTTTTCCCCTAGTTCTTGGATTCCCCTTACATCTAGTGCTTAAGTGATGTCAGGGCAAAGAGTATGGCTTTCCTGGCTTCAGAAAGCAAACTGGCCCTGGCAGTGTAGACACCTTGAAATTCCACTAAACACTGTTTACTGTTCTGAGAAGAATGCGACAGATCTGTCTTATGTACCTTCTCCTGGCCCAGTACCAGAGGGGACGCTTGATAAAAACAGGCAAAAAAAAAATAGCAAAAATTTGAGTGGCTCACTATAAATGTGTCGCTGCTTTTCAGAAGAGTCTGATCCCCAGGCTACCCGGTGAGTGGAGATTCAGACTTTTGTCCTTTAAGCAAAAAGATGCTGCAATTCTGCTCCTTTCAATGAACCACCAGGAGAAAGCACCTGCCCCTACACCCTGAATGCTTTCTTTCGTTGAAGAAGTTCCCCCATCCTCCTTGCCTACCTCCAAGTCTTTTCTCCCAAACTTTGTTTTTGTTGGTAGTATTTAGACACGCTGCTTTCTCTCCTCCGGGTGCACTCTAGGATTTGATCTAATTGTCCCGCTGTTCGAGTGTCACTCAGCATTATTACTGCGAAGATGAATGGGATGTGGGTCAGAGTTCAGCAAGGAGGCATCTGCTCACTTACTCTGCGAAGTGGAAGCACTCAGAGGTGATCTTTAATGAAAGCTTGGAGAAGATTTGCACAGAGCAGGCTGCGCTCTATCCTCCTGCAGCTGGGGCAACTAAAGAGTGGTTCTTTTCCGCAGGAACATAAAATGGATAAACAGGAGGTAGGGAGAATTCTGCAGGAAGTTCACTGCTTGGGTGTCTTTTTTTTCTGCAGGGGAGAAAATGGGGGATTAGACAAAGAGTGTGATTAAAGAGGGAGGAGAAAATGGAAGATTTTGAATGGGTCCTAACCATTCGCCTGGTCGGTTCATAGGACAATCTCACCAAAGAAGAATTTCCACTCCACTAGCAGAGTCTCTCACTCAGCGTCTCCCCTGGCCTCAGGTTACCGTGCCATCTCAGGTTCAGGTTCTCTACTGGACTCTCTTCGAGCTGACAGTTCTCCTACTTAACCAAGTACCCAGAGTCCCACTTAGGAAGACCTAGACTTGTTCTGGCGTTTGACGCAAGCGGGACAATGGCTCCATTGTTCTTTTTGCCCTCCTAAATGGAGCCAACGTCTCCTCCGTTTAATTCGGTCACTAAGGGGGGTTAAGTATGGAACCGTAGGAGACTCACCTTCCTTTACTCCCCCTCCGCCCCTTGGAAGCGGGTTGTGCTGTGTTGCTCTTTGCTCTGGACTATCAAACCTGTTTGGAGGACCCCAGTGGACGGTGCCCTTTTATGCTCTCCACAGAGTGAAACTTGGGAGGGGAAGAAACACAAATCAGGAAGCTCACTTTAGTTCAGGTTGTCACTCAAAGCCTGCGGTTTCTTGTGGACCTCTGGGCAGAAGCATCACAGCTGCCCAGGGGATCCCCAGCCCAAACACTAAAAATATCCAGGGCGAGGACAGCCCGGCGTTACCTAGAGCGTGCAGCAGAAGTAGTCTCCTAGGATGGGTGGAGATCCCGCCACCGGCTTGCAGCGCCACGGGAGTCCCGGAGTCCCGCGCAGCGCGCACATTTGCGATCGGGTTTCCCTGCTGCCGACCGGGGACTCCGCAGAGCCCAGGCGGCTCTGGTGGGTGCAATCCCGCTCGCCTCTCCGCCTAGCACGCTCTCTTCGCAGTGCTCCCCAGCGAGCTCTCAGTGTCTCGCTCTGAGCATGCGCGGCCTGGCGCCCTCCCCTCCCCTCCAGCCCCCCTTGTGCCCCCTCCCCGCCAGCCTTTTGCTCCTTTCCTTTCATTAAACAAACAGGAGATCCTGAAACCTGGACCCTGCGCAGGCAGCAGCGCCGGGGGGAGGCGGCGGCGGAGGAGGAGGCAGAGAGCAGGATGGGCGCCAACGGGGATCTGTGATCCGCCGCACCCCCGCCCGGCGCGCGCGCACACACTCACACGCCCGCACACTCGCACAAACACACACTCGCATACGCCCGCGCCGCGCGCTCGCCGGCTCGCTCTCCCACGCAGGCGGAATGCAGCGGCGCCCCGGGAGCGGGTCTCCAGCCGCTGCCTGAATGCACCTCGCTGCCGGGAGCCAGGCGGCCCAGTAGGGCGCCCAGGAGGACGCTCCGCCGCCGGAGGTGAGTGCGGTGCGGGCAGCCGGGAAGTCTCGGCGCCTGGGGAGCTCGGGCAGGTTCCAGACCCGAGGCGGCGGTGCAGGTGGCTTGTGGGTTTCAAGGTGCAGAGGAAGACAGCGCCGGGGCTGTGCAGGGGGAGAGGGTGATCCCAGGCAGGGTCTCCTCCTGCGCGGCGTCAGATTCACCCGGCGGAAAGCAACCGCCTCCCTGCTCGTAAACTTTCCTCTCCTGTCATTCGGGAAACGTGGAGACAAAGGGGGCGTGGAGGCTCTCTCCGTCCAGTTCCACCCTCCTGACTGCATTCCGGCTGCGTCGCGAGCCGGTGCGCGTGGGTGGGCGTGCTGGCCGGGTCGCCCTGCAGGTAGCTGATGCCAAATCTTCCCACCTGGCAGGGGCTGGGATTTCCCTCCTTTGGCTGTAGGCTTGGAGATTGATTTTTGCCTCCAGCGTGGCCACCTGCCGTCCTCCCACACCCCCCATCCCTAGCCCCGTACCCCCGGAGCGTAGTAGTGGTGTGTGTGTGTGTGTGTGTGTGTGTGTGTATGTGTGTGCGCGCGCGCGCGCAAGGGGGGTGTCACCTGCTGGAAGGAGATGTTTAGGGTTTTTCATTCAGCGCCGGTGCCAGAGGCGCCGGGGTGAGGCTTGGGTCAGTGTGGGGATGAATGATGAGTTACTGAAAGGCTTGCTATAATCACCTAGAAACGCTGGGCGCCGGGATCTCTCCTCCCTGGGGAAGGTGCAGTCTTCACGCATACCGCCGCGGCAGCGCTGGGAGTTCGATGGGGCTGCGGTGGAGGCAGCGGTGGCAGTGGCAGCTGGGGCTTTTTTTTTTTTTTTTTGGCCCAGAGGTTTTATTACACACACGTGTGGAATATGTAGAGGATTCTAGGTTATTATTTTTCTTTGTGGGGATATATTTTTTTCCCCTTTCAACCAGTTTCTTGGAAGGGATGTTTTGCATCTGGTGGACAGATATGGTTCTGAACATCTCTTCAGTCCACGGAAAATGGTCCTGGGAAAAGGGTTCCTTAGAATGCTAAACCCATTGCCACCAGATCTCAGAGCCTGGCGTGCCTGACTACATCTGGGGAAAGCTTGAAATCTTACGGCCCTTTGAAAGCGCCAAGCCTCAGCCAGGATGTGAGGAGTCCAGGGCTAGGACAAAGGGGAATAATAGAAGAGGATCGGAAGCTAGTTATTTAGGAGAGGTGTGACCACAGGCCAATTCAAGAAAAAAGAGGTCCAGTGTGAGGAGCTTAACTTGGCAGTTTTATAGTACTTCTGTAGTTCGCAGCTCCTATTTGTGGATTGGGGGTCTGGTTTGATGATATTTAGAAAGTCACATCTGGGGCATAAAAGACTTGATTATTTCTGGGTTTACCTTTAACATAATCATAATTTCTTCTTCTAGAACATGCCTTGTGTGAAAGTATCTCCACCTTAACATGTTTGTGCCTGGAACGTGGAATGGGCAGACACATCCATGTTTAGCTCTTTGTACCACAGAGCTTGGGATTTGTGAAGGAAGCCCTGCAGATGCTGGCAGGAGGAAAGTTTGAGACCTTAGACTCCAACTCGTGACTGCTGGTCGTCACAGCTTCTCCTCACTTTGAAAGGACAGGTGGAGGCCATCTCCCTCTTGCTACTTGGTTTTTCTTTCCTTCCTTCCTTCCTTCCTTCCTTCCTTCCTTCCTTCCTTCCTTCCTTCCTTCCTT